TAAGCGCGAGCATCTGTTTAAGCCAGTTGCCAGCTACTCGTGCTGCTTCTATTCATTTGTGGGCAGTGTTAATCGCTCGCTTATCAAAAACAACGCCCCACTAGTAAACATATTGTAACAACTGAACTACACCGAGCTTTCTCTGTCCAATGGAATGCTTTTGTTTATTGTTAAACATTTTGTTGACTTTTTCCTGAATTGAAACATTTTTCTTCACAATTAAATAATGCTGTTGCACAGTTTGGCAGGCACTGAGAAGGACCATGAACTTTCAGCGACAGCGAAATCCAAAGACTTAGGCAACGAACTTTCTATGGTGTACGGCTCTTTCGGTTATGTACGCCTAAGCTAGCAAGACGCAAAAAGCAAGAAGCAATAAATTTGCAGCAGTTTTGCAGTAATTGGAGCTATGAAAAGTAAAAAGCATTGAAATTGCAAAAGAGAGCGAAAGAAAAAGAGAAGAGATGAGATGAATGGCGAGTAGAAATTGCGCAGAAAGCTAAAAAGTAAAGCATAAAACGCCAACTGTCTAGAAAAACAATTTGTAAATTGCTTCCGACAGCAAATTCAATAATAACAACACCAGCTACAACAAGAACAACAACCACAACAACAACAACAACAATGAAGGCAACTAATAGTTACTTTCAATCATTCATCATCGATTTCAATAAACAATTTCAATGGGTAGCTGGGCAGGCAGAGACCGCGAAAGATAGACGACGCACAATGGCGCTGGCACTTGCTACATGTTGAGAGAATGTGCCGCAGCTTCCCTACGCCTCGTCGACTTCTCTACATCGACTTACTATATCTTCCTATCAAAAGGTTGCCCCGCGCTCTGGCGCATTTTGAACGTGTGAAAGATTTGTTTTTCATTTGCCAAGCTGTTGTTGCTGTAGTGTTGCTTGTGTGTGTGTTTGGGGCAGTTGAACTTTTGGTCAATCTGTGCATGACTAGCCGTAGACAGTCAGGCAGCTAGTCGGCCAAGCAGCCAAGCAGCCAGCCTGGCTTTCTGTTATTTGGCTTTAGGCTTCATATTCAATAATAATTAGAAATTCTGTTTATTTGGTTGCAAATTGCTTTTGCTGTTGCTGCTGCTGCTGTTGCTGTCTCTGTTGCTCATTGTTGTTGCTTGGTTCTTTGTCAGCGCCTTGACATTTGGTGGCACTAAGAATTACGCAGTAAGCATCCATGCCAAATAACCGCAACAAATTATTGTGATATCAATTTTGGATGTATCGAAAACCCGTTTGCGAAAAGCGCGACGCATTTATGTATATTTGTATCGTATTTAACGGCCTGGACGCCAAATGTCAAGAGTTAAGCATGGCTAATGCTAATAAGTAAAAATATGTTTTTGTCTCCAATAAGGCGGCGACAACAATAAGTTATCGAAATAAAACACAGCTAAGCTGTTGCAAGCTATAAATAACTTGTCAATAGTTTGATGGAAACTGGATTAGTGGCAGTCAAACCCGTAGTTTAAAGTAATTAACGATGTTAGCTAGCTACAACTGTGAATATGAATTCTGGACAGTTGCGCAATTTAAATACAATGGCTGTTAGTCTGTCTAGCAGAATGCTTGCCAAACTATTGCAGTGTGAGCTGCACTGTTATTATGGGGCACTTTAAGGAGCAGCAGCTGCTGATTCTGTCTTTGACACTAGCTGCCAACATTTTTGTCATATGCAAAACAAAAGACTCAAGCAACGAACTTGAGCAGAATATGCGCTGCAGCAGACACTGGCCGCGGCTCACATAATTGCTGCATCAAAATTGCTTTTCATTTGCTCAAAATGAAGCAATTGTTGGGGCATGCAGCCAGCAGCAGGCAGCAGGCAACGAGCAGCGAGCAGCAGGCCGCATGGGCCATGCAGCAACAAGCAGCAACAGCAGTCAACAGTCAGCGATGCGGATGTGAAGCTGCGCATGTGCGGCGCTTCTTTTGTTTTGCCTCTTTGCCACTTTGTGGGCAACCAGCAACACAGCAACAGAGATTCGCAGCTCCACAGCTCCACAGCTGCTTAACATGCCACACAGTCAGTGGAACTGCAAATGCAGCCGCATGTAAGCAAAATATGTAATTATGTTAGAAGCGAGTGCAACGGCTGATCTGCGGCTGCATCTGCCTTGTTGTCTAGCTGTCACTTGTTTATTGCAATGTTTTGCTTTTTATTCGTATTTATTATGCAAGCTGTTTTTATATTTTCCGCCGCTTGAGCTATTGATTTGCTATCTGATGGATTTATGTCAGTCGCGTATTGACAAATTGCGATGCTGCGCTTGCCATTTGCTTAGCATCTGCCAATTGCCAGCAGACAGATGGGTAAACAAAAGACTTGGGCAACAAATTTTCTGTGGACGTCGCTACGCGGCACTTGTAAAGCAATTCGTCAAATTTTTCGTTGACGACTTAATAAGCCAAACAAACAGAAATTCGTGACACAATACATGCATAAATATTTGTATATACAGCATTACGACAGACTATAGATACGTTTACAACATAAACATTCGTGTATTAATTTCTTTGAAGCGAAGGAGTTGGCCTAGCTTTAAAATAAGTCAATTTCGCGCAGGGTCGATTTCAGATTTATGAACTTGAAAAGCGACAGCAGCAAACAAAAGACTTGGGCAACAAACTTGACTATGATTTATAGCCAGAAAAGTTAAACGCGACGTTTAAGCAAACGAGCTATGACAGACACTGAGAATTGGGTCAAAATTAGCAAGAGCTTTTCATTAAGTTTACGATGATGTGCTATAATTTGTCGTAACTAGAAGATGACCTCAGCGAGAGGAAACGGAAAAAAAGTTATATGGTTTTTAAATACATTCTAATAAATCTTATTTTATTTAGCATAAACAAAGTTTAGCTAGGCTCGGCCTATTTCAAGTTTCACACACTTTAATTGGCGAATACCCTTTGCTGCTTATGGAGATCAAACTTTCGCTGACATCGCTCTAAATATCAAGTGAAGAGCGTAAATTGTGTGAAAAAATGTACCTAATGAATTTTCTCACAACACATATGCATGCACACGCATCGGCCCAAACAATATGAAGATGTTTATAATATTATAATTAATTACGATTTTTTTTTCTTAAAAAATAAACAGAAACACTTTCAAAAGCACAAAACTCAAAGTCAAAGCAAAGTTCAATGCCAAAAACAAACAAACAAACAAAAAAGAGCTACAAAAGCTGAAAAGGCATTTATATTGTATGCAGCTCAAAGGTATGCTCCCATCTGCCAGCTGTTTTCCATACGCGGCTGATAATGCTTAATTATATATACATAAACCGCAACGAGACAATGCAACAAGGCAACAACAATGCCTTTGATAATGTACAAACGAATTCACACGGCGCTGCCATTCAAGAGAATACAAAAATAATAATAACAAAACCAACTCAAATGCGCTTTGTTGGGCACTCACTGAGTCTTATGGACAATATTACGATTGAGTGGCCAGCGCACTAGTTCAATTTAATTGTAGTAAAACATTGTGAGCATTGACTTTCGACTACAAAGCTCATCCATAGAGATGGTCCGTGGAGTTATAGGTCCACTTAATTAAAGATCACCCCCCAAATCGCTGCATTGTGCCACAAATTAAATCCAAAATTCAAAAGCAAGTGCCACATTTTGAAGTTCAGCAACAGCTCCAAAAAGTATGAACAAAAAAAAAATATCCGTAATGAAAATAAAAACTCATTTAACACGGTTTATTTTTAATTTATTTATGCATTAAGCGCCTGTCGCTCAACGCTTGGTGAATGCCAATTGCCTGGCCACAGCAACAACAACAACGGTGACAGCAATGTTATATATAGAAGCGAATTGACATTAAAAACTGTTGACATCATGAGGAAGTCCAGTACGAGGCAGCCTATGCTAATTATGTTAATGCTTCATGCTTATGAAGCAATGTTCCAAAAAAAAAAAAAAAAAAAAATTGCATTGCAATTGCAACTGCTTATTACAAAATATTTGTTTCATTATTTTTGATTTGCATGCATGCGAATCGAAGTGGAAATCGAAATTAAAAATATATTTGCATATTTAAAATAATTATTTGCATTAGTTGGCAGCCAGGTTAGGGTTTGTTGGGGCTTCCCCAACTCTTGATAGACATGTGTAGAGCTAACTGAAAGCTAAGCTAACTATTTAGAGCATACATATACAAACATATACATGTATATGTCTAATCCTAATCGGCTTTGCTGAAAACTGGCTGACAAGACTACTTGTCGCTTCACGCTTATCACAACATCGTTATTTAAGCATTTTTGGGTAAACAATTTGAGTCGCGAATAAACAATTAACTTTGACCAGCGGCCGTTGCGCATCTTGAACTCATTTGCATCTTTTATTGTTGTATTGCGTGAGTTCACACATGTAAAAAAATAAAATAAAAGCATAAAATAAAAAAAAAAAGCCTCAAAAATGTATACAAATAAAAGAGAAAAAGTCTCAAAGAGGAAATATTCATTGGTATATATGTGAATATATTTTGGTGGACCAAAAGTAGCGCAGCAGCTGTCGAAGATCGATTGCCAGAGCTGCGAGTCGCATAAACAAATTAATTAGCATCTATAAGGTCGACACAGCATTGAAAATTGCATTGGTATATGAAAATAAACAGCACGCTTCGTGGATGCTGTTTAAATTAGTTGTACATTAAGTATTCACAATAGCCGAGATCTATTAACAAGCCTTACTTTCCAGCTGCAAGAGCTTGGCTTGTTGCTAGGTGGGCAATTTATTTTTGTATATTTTGCGAATGATGCGTACGGCAAGTTTTTGGGACGATTTGGTGGCCAGTTCGCAGTTGAGTGCGACTCATCTTTCAGCCGGACATTATTATTGGTTGGGTTGTTTGCGAACGCTGTTCACACCCTCAAAGTTTTTGGCAAATAAAAAATAAATCAATTAGCGCAATTCGCTGACTAATCCAATTTTCCACACTCTCCACACTTTTTCTCGCTGCAGGTACATTACGCCAGCCGCCGCAGCAACAACAACAACACAGGCCGTAAGCACAAATTGCAGCTCAACGGGCGGCACAAGTCTGGCGGTTTATCCAACAGCCACGGCACAGGTGTATCGCTCCAACAACGGACTCGATGTCCTCGACTGCGCCGGCCTGGAGCATCATAGTGGAGCAACAGGAACAGCAACCGGCAGCAATTCCAGTGGCAGCGGCTTTTCCCAGCGACTACGTGAGTTGGCCGCCTCCGCTGGATTGCTGTCACTGAAGCCACGCCAGCCGCTGAAGCCTGTGATTAAGACGCGAGGCTCGCCGGGTCCCGAGTTTCCCAAGAAGGTCACCTTCAGCGCCTTCGCCACGGTGCAGGTGGTGTGACTTTCCAACACTGAGCCTGGCAGTAGCGTGTTGGGGACGCAGGCACTATATAGCTAGGTAAACACAAATATGAGCTCCAAATAGTAAATATTTTGCTAATAGTTTGTTTATGTTTTTATTGCAGGTGGCGCGTGTCTTGCATTGTTAACCATTATTGTTGTTTTGTTGCTGTTATTAAATGTTTAGCATTAATATGGATCGACATCTGGCAGACTTGGAGAAAATATTCCTTAAGTTAGATTTATGTTTGTGCCATGTCTTTGGCTTCAATCTGTTATGAAATATGTACCAATATATGTATGCACCATAGCTGAAAATACCTCAAAGACCCTACAACCATCTTAAATTTGAATATCCAGCACAATCTTTAAATCAATCAATTGCACCAACTTCCTCTCTCTTTCAATGTTTTAAATGCTTTTCCTGGAAGACTGACATTCTTTTCGATTCGCAGTTCCTTTCAATATGTATTTCACTATTCACAACTTTATTTTCCTAAATCCTCAAACAGTATTTTCCCATCTTTGTATTTCTTGGCAATACTAAATTGTAATCATAATCCCAAATTGATGACTACACACAAAAATTCTAATATTTTCTATCGAATTGTAAATATGTATGAATTTTTGCATAGTCATAAATGTATATGTGGCGTTTATATGTGTAATGTGTAAGTCTGCTTGAGTGTATTTGTATATATACCAGAACTTTACATATGTATTGTAGAAAACACGATATAAGAGTAAAATGAAAGATAATTAACTGCCTTCTATGAACACGAAATATAAACACAATTGCTGTATATTGTATTCTAAATCTATGATTAAAAACATTAATTTAAGCTAATATTATGGATGATCGAATAAAAACGAGAGAACAACATATCGCCAAATTTTTATTAAATGAATAAGTGGGGGCTTTAATTTTTTAAACTTTGGCGCGTTACATGCGCAGCAGCAACTAGACGGGGAATATTTATTTAACAGATATGTTAGCATCAGTCGAATCTGTTGTGTAGAGAAGAAACTGTAAGTAATCAAACACAGTGAATTGCTTACATTTTAATAGCTTGCGCGCTGTAAAAGAAAATAAGATAGATGATATTCTGAGCAGCTGAGGAAAAAGGCGCTGTTTTAAGGAAGTTTGCTGTTGATAGAGGCGTAATAAGCTAACAGATGTATAGTGTCAGCATAATTAGCATAGTTTTCTGTTAGCTAAAATGTGGAGTCGGATACTGAGTCTGTTAACAGTAATTACAGCTGTACTCACATAGCTCAGACTTGTACCTCAAGCCACGATCATTTTTTAACAGTGAGCTCAAGCATTGCATGTGGAGCCAATGTTAACAGGTGGAGCAATTCTGTTAAGTGTTTATCTAATATAATGTGGCAACACTAGTGTTCAAAGAGTTTACGTACGCGCTTCAATGTGTACACACTGATGTTTTCCCGCCTTTTGTGAAATAATCACTGGCTGCGCAAATTAAAACATTCAAAGAAACTTGCTGTGTTCCAAATGGCAGATTCACCTTGTAAGTAATTAAATATTATTGCTTGATGTGTTTGTAATAAAATTGCCCAAACAGCTGGACCGCGTGTCAAACGACAACGCATAGACAAATCCGGTCGTTTCGCAGCGTTGGAGCGCCTCAAAAGTTTGAAGGGCACCAAAAACAAATGCCAAGTGGAAGATAAAGTGGACGATGTGTACGAAGTGGTGGACGAACGGGAATATGCGAAGCGTGCAAATGAGAAATACGGTGGCGATTGGATTGAAGACGGTAAGTAGAATTTCACATAAATGGCAAAGACAAGACTTATCAGCCAAATATGATTTACGTCTACGTCCACAGACGGCACTGGTTACGCAGAGGATGGTCGTGACTTTTTTGAAGATGAGGATGACTACTCTGATGAGGAAGGTCGCGATCAAAGTGATAACAAGAAAAAGAAAACGGGCAACGCTAAGAAGCGGCCACGCGACGACACAGGCCCAGCCAAGGGAAAGGCGTCTATTCGAAATCTCTTCAGCAATGCGATACCAAAGAAGGCGGACATCAAAAACAGTGTCAAGGATGACGATATTCTGGCAGACATATTGGGGGAAATCAAGGAAGAGCCTGCTGGCGACTTGTCTGCATCGCAGCAACAAAAAGTAATTGCGCCAGCTAAAATTGTTGCCGCTGCACGCAAATCCGATGCACTTGCGGCCAAGGAGTATATGAATAGCTTTCTGAGCAACATCAAAATGCAAGAGCAGCAGCGTAAAAAAGAAGGAAGCAATGATGACGAAATGCTTGATCGCATACTGCAGCCAAAGGCTTCAATGCAGCCTAACAAGAAGGCGACGACAATTGCAGCGTCGGCTCTAGTCAAAGTGAAGCAGGAGGAAACAACTGAGCAGCCCAGGAAGAAGGCAAAGAAAGAAGCTACGCCTGAACCTGACGACAATGACTTGGACTTTAGTTGCTTAGATGACGATGAGAACCAGTTCGAGTTGGCTGCCTCGAAGGTCAAGCCCGCTGTCAAACCAGAGCTTAAGGACATGTCCGCAGCAGTTGCGAATGGCGCTGCCAAACCAGAAGCAGAGGACATGAACAAGCTGCTTAACAATTGGGAGTCGATATGTCAAATGGATGATGATTTCGAGAAATCGGTGTTAGCCAGTGAAGCAGAGGCAGCCGCCGGCAGTGATCCAGTTGACGTCGAGCAACTGCGATTTTGGTACTGGGAAGCTTGGGAAGATGCGCAGAAGCTGCCCGGCGAAGTTTTTCTCTTTGGTCGTACGGCAGACGGCAAGTCCATATGTGTGCGTGTTCAGAATATCAATCGCGTGCTCTATCTTCTGCCCAGGCAATATGTGAGTATTAAACTAATGTCGGGGGCTGTAAACCATGATTAAAGTGTTCCAACTTCAGTTACTAGATCCCATTACAAAGGAGCCCACCAAGCAAAAGGTCACAGCGGCCGACATGTACAAGGAGTTCGATACGCACATTGCCACCGAACTGAAGCTTGATACGTTCCGTTCCCGAAAGGTTAGCAAGAACTTTGCCAACCATGCCATAGGCATCGATGTGCCGCAAACCTGCGACTACCTAGAGGTTCACTACGATGGCAAGAAGCCGGCGCCAAATGTCTTAAATAAGAAATACGATTCCATAGCGCACATATTTGGCGCCAACACCAATGCGCTGGAGCGCTTTCTTCTGGATCGCAAGATCAAAGGTCCGTGCTGGCTGCAGATTAGTGGCTTCAATATAAATCCTGCGCCCATCAGCTGGTGCAAAACGGATGTGACGATCACGGAGCCGAAAAACGTGGAGCTCGTGCTTGAGCAGGGAAAACCAACACCTCCGCCTCCCTTAACTCTGCTCACACTCAACGTGCGCACATCTATGAATCCGAAGACACTCAAGAATGAGATCTGCATGATTTCGATGCTCACTCACAATCGCTTTCATATAGACAAGCCGGCGCCGCAGCCTGCCTTCAACCGCCACATGTGCGCCCTTACCCGACCCGCTGTCTCCACTTGGCCTCTTGATTTGAATCTGCAGCTAACCAAGTACAAGTCCACAAAGATCTACAAACACGACTCTGAGCGTGCGCTGCTCAGCTGGTTTCTGGCGCAGTATCAGCAAATCGATGCAGATCTTATAGTCACATTTGACGCGATGGATTGCCAGTTGAATGTCATAACGGATCAGATTGTGGCCCTGAAGATACCTCAGTGGTCGCGCATGGGACGTCTGCGTTTCACACAAACCTTCGGAAAGCGTCTGCTGGATCACTTTGTGGGTCGCATGGTTTGCGATGTCAAACGCTCGGCGGAGGAGTGCATAAGAGCCAGATCCTACGATCTGCAGACACTGTGCCAGCAGGTTCTCAAGCTGCAGGAGTCCGAACGCATGGACGTCAATGCGGATGATCTGCTGGAGATGTATGAGAAGGGTAAGCGGAAGTCAGTTGCAGCTAAAATTATAATTGTCGCGAATAATTGTCTCTTATATCACCGGCAGGCGAAAACATTACCAAGCTCATCTCGTTAACCATGCAGGACGCATCCTATATGCTGCGCCTCATGTGCGAGCTGAATATCATGCCATTGGCACTGCAGATAACCAACATTTGCGGCAATACAATGACGCGCACACTTCAGGGCGGGCGGTCCGAACGCAATGAGTTTCTGCTGCTTCATGCCTTTCATGAGAAGAACTACATTGTACCCGATAAGCTGCCACAAAGGCATGGCGCCGTAGCCAACACTCAAACTGATCCCGATGCCACGACGGGTAATGACACAACGGTGGCTGCGGGCAGTGGAGCAGCTCGTAAGAAGGCTGCGTATGCCGGTGGCTTGGTGCTGGAACCTTTGCGTGGACTATATGAAAAATACGTGCTGCTCATGGATTTCAATTCTCTGTATCCGAGCATCATACAGGAGTATAATATTTGCTTCACCACAGTACAACAGCCGCACGATGCGGATCAGCTGCCTGTGCTGCCCGACTCTAGTGCAGAGCCAGGCATTTTGCCAATGCAGCTGCGCCGCTTGGTGGAGTCTCGTCGCCAGGTCAAGAAGCTAATGGCTGTGCCAGACCTATCGCCGGAACTGCAGATGCAATATCATATACGACAGATGGCACTCAAGCTGACTGCGAATTCTATGTACGGCTGTCTGGGTTTCGCGCATTCTCGCTTCTTTGCACAGCATTTGGCAGCTCTAGTGACGCACAAGGGACGAGAGATCCTGGTTAACACGCAGCAATTGGTGCAGAAGCTCAACTATGATGTGGTCTATGGCGACACGGATTCGCTGATGATCAATACGAACATAACGGACTACGATCAGGTCTACAAGATCGGACACACCATCAAGCAGAGCGTGAACAAGCTGTACAAGCAACTCGAACTGGACATTGATGGTGTCTTTGCCTGTTTGCTGCTTCTCAAAAAGAAGAAATATGCTGCCGTCAAGCTGACCAAGAACGCCAAAGGCGTGCTGATACGTGAACAGGAGCACAAGGGCTTAGATATAGTGCGTCGCGATTGGTCCCAGCTGGCCGTGATGGTAGGCAAGGCAGTGCTGGATGAAGTGCTCTCCGACAAGCCTCTGGAGGATAAACTTGATGCGGTGCATGCCCAACTTGGGCGCATCAAGGACCAAATTGCAGAGTCCGCTGTGCCGCTGCCGCTGTACGTGATCACAAAGCAATTGACACGTGCACCGCAGGAGTATGCCAACAGCGCGTCACTGCCCCACGTTCAGGTGGCGCTGCGCATGAATCGAGAAAGGAATCGACGCTATAAAAAGGGCGACATGGTCGACTATGTGATCTGTTTGGACGGCACTACGAATGCGGCCATGCAGCGTGCCTACCATCTGGACGAGCTGAAAAGCAGCGAAACTCTGAAGCTCGACACGAATTACTATCTGGGCAATCAGATACATCCGGTGGTCACACGCATGGTGGAGGTGCTCGAGGGCACCGATGCGAGTCGCATTGCCGAGTGCCTGGGCATGGATTCTAGTAAATACAGACAGAATGCGCAGCGGTAAGTGCAGCCTCCCAACTTGTAGTTTCTCTACTTACGAAGATCCTCTACACTCACACAGCGTCCAGCGGGAGCGTACGGAAGAAGCCGAGGGTGAGTCGCTGCAGAAGACCACGTTGCAGCTTTATCGCCTCTGTGAACCCTTTCGATTCAAATGCGTTAGCTGTAAGACGGAGCAGCTTATGGCCAGTGCCTATCGGCCGGGCCCCAACAGCAGCCATGTGCCGGTGTTGCAGCAGTGCGTCAATCCCGAGTGCCAGACATCGCCCATGCAATATTTGGTTAGCATACGCAATCAACTGCAGCTGTGCATGCGAGGCTATGTGCAGCGCTTCTACCGCAATTGGCTGGTGTGCGATCATCCCGATTGCAACTATAATACAAGAACCTATTCGCTGCGGCTCGAGCTGCGTCGCCCACTGTGCCTCAAATGCAACAGTGGTGCCATGCTGCGGCAATACTCGGAGCGCGATCTCTACAATCAGCTGTGCTACCTGCGTTTCATATTTGACCTCAGCAAGCAGCAGCTGCATCAGAAACGTGAGTGCAACAATGAAGCTCGCTGTCAACTAAGACTAACTATTTCAATTTATCTCTGTCTCTCTCTTTCTCTTTGCCTGGGTAGCTACTCTAACGCCTGAACTGGAGCAGGCGTATCAATTGCTTTATGACACCGTGGAACAGCAATTCCAATGCTCCAGCTACGTTGTCATCTCGCTTGGCAGCATTTTCGCGCGCAGCCTGGCGCTGTCGACGCTGATGCCGCCCAAGAAGGCGCAGCAGGATAATGAAATAGCCAGTAGCTTGGCGGATGTTTAGTTAATGCACAACCTCAACTTTTATTAAATCTACGCACACTCGCGAACACAAATATATAAATCTTTGATAAACTAGCTAAGAAATTTTTCGAGCGGAAAGTAACGAAAGGATTCATTGAATATATCCGTGAATGCCGTGCTCACCAGCTCATTGATCATCGGTCGAACAAATGGCAGGCCCAGTTGCCACATGCTGTTGATGACCCCGTCGGCCAGCTGATTCAATGGTTGTCCCTGCAACAGATTCCCTATATGCAACTCCATGCGGCCAATGTGATCGACCTCGACATGCACCTTGAGCAGGGAGCCCGGTTCGCCCACGCGTCGTACGCTCGTCGTTTGACTGTGGAATGCAGTGTGGACATCAGATTAGGAAATAAATATATAATTATAATACATATGTTAAGACAGCGCACCTGTAGTCGTAGAGCGTCAGATTCCAATGACCCTGTCGTCGCAGCTCGGTGCCCAGTATCTTGGCGAGGAACTCGTATTCACCCTCAAGACTCTTCTCGGGAAAGTATTGCGCATAGACGATGCGCTGATCTTTGGGCTCGCTGTGAAATTTCGTCACCTCGGAGTGCGACCAGCCGTATTCCGAGACGTTGCGCAAGATCAGCTTTAAGCTGCCCGGGCCGTGCGGATCGCCCCGACGCAATTCGACAAACGACGAGTGATGCGGATCAAAGGGCTGAATATTGTAACCGGGCACACCTTGTTGCATGAAGAGGGGCACATTTTGTTAACTCGCTCAATTCGACTTGAACTCTTTATAATGCTGGCTCACCTGTTGTGAAATAGGCGCGCAGATCGTTGAACACCTGTTTCATGCAATCGTTGTACGCATCCAGATTCGCTTCATCTCTGTGACAGCGGCCGATCAAGTGTTTCAGATCTTCGTCCACGTCTATTTGGCTGGATGCACTGGTTTTGCCCACAAACGCCGCAATAATAACAAACACAAGGAAAGTAACTGCTAAGCAGTGACCGTTACAGTTTGGAAGCAACTGTTGCGACATGTTGCTGCTTGCTTTGCCCCGCGCCCTGTCGAACACCAACGAAAATGATGTATGTGTGTAAGTGTGAAATGCTTGTATGTTTTGCTTATAGTCTTAAGCAGGTGCGAAGCGCAAACAGAGTTGACATTCAAAATATCTATTATTGAATATTTAAATATGTTTTGGCTTAATTACAGTTTCAGTTGCACTGAGCTACTGAAATTGAAATGAAATTCGTTTTAGGTAGTTATAGATGCAATTTTCAAACTGCTTGGCTCTAAATTCGTTTACGTTTACTATAATTTTATTTATTGAACAGCTTCTTAAAAGTAATTTTCAACTGCTGAGCTGGCTTGAACTGCTTTGACTGTTGCTGTTTGGAAGTTTGAAGTTCATTTTGTGCTTGAATCTTAAGAGCCATGCTGCGTCTTAATAGTTGTCTTTTAGAGGTAATTCCAATCCCAACATCGTTTACAAAAACCTTGCAGAGCATAATGAAATCAAGTCACGCAGAGCGAGGGCTGTGCCCATGCTGAATTCATTTAATAAATAATTGACTTTAAATAATTAGGATATCAAAAAATTGTCATTTAAAATATTTATAGAAAACTAAATAGTCTTTGTTGATCATCACTATATTTGAATATATATGATTAGAATCCACTGTGTCAATGGCCTCTGATTGTGTACTTAAACTGCGTATTTAATTGCGATTTAAACGGCTCTTAGTGCTTTACAATTGCAGCCGTTCGCAGTTTGAACTGGTTTCTGTCTTTGTATAGATTTCTTATCTGCGGGGCTGTCAATGCTTGACGGAGCTATCACGATTCTCAGGGCCATGTCGGAGTGCACAAACAGAAACACTTAGTTAACTCAATTTAAGGTACAACTTTTTTTTCAGGTGCTCATCAGGGTTTTTTTTTTCTCTCTCTCTTTTTGGTTTGTTTCTTTCTTGTATTATAATTTCCGCTGCACTTGACCTCTTTTTGTCGAAGTGCACAGCCACTGCTGTAGGTTTTTGCTTTTATTATTGTTTTTTATGGATTTTACTATGATTCATTTGCGGTTGTCATTAACGGGCGCTGGAGCGCAGAGAAGCATTTAGTGTAAACAAATGACTTGTACAAGACACAAACTTGCGGGCGAATAGAAAGATTGGACAATATGCAGCTCTATGTTTGGCCGTAGGCTAAGCTTTTTAGACCTGGCCACCTCTGTTGACATGCAACATCAACCAATATATATGTATGTAAAGACCACAACAATAACAAGCGGCAAATTGTGAATTGTGCAGCTTTGGATTGCTGCCGGCTCTGGCCAAGCTTCAGCTGACCAAAGCCAGCCAACAGCTGAAAGTTAGTCAGTCAGTTAGTTGTTGCTGTTGTTGTTAGTTTTAGTTGCAAATTGTGTAATTTCTTTTACCACTTGAAATAGCGCAACTCGTTGTGTGAGGCAAGCCACAGTTTGAGCTTCACCCACCTGCTGCAGCTCCGAAAGATATTTACTTTACGTTGTTTATCGCTCGTTTATTTTGATTTGTGGCGCTATTTTGGCACTTCAACTAGTTGACCACAAATGTGCTTCCTGATATTTGGGTTAGAGTGAAAATCAAAAATTCAACTTTTCGTTCCGTATGCAACGCCCGCACTCAGGTTTACAGTTAACTGTTCCGAATTCGCGATACCTTTTATATTTTATAAATACATTTGCTTAATATTTTTCTTTTTCTTTTTTGTGTGTGAATCATGCGAGCGTCAACTGGCAACTGACTTCAAATTTTGCAGGCCAGCCAAATATGTGAGTGGAAACGCCACTAAGACTGGGCGACTCGGAGAGCCCGGCCGAATAGGCTGCAAAGCTCATATACGCACACATGCTCGCACGCTCTTTGGTAATTGTCATTTAATTTCCTTATTTACTTTGAGGCAAACCCACTTTATGTTCGTAAGCCGTATGTGTGCCCATTTGTCGTGCAGTGGCCGAGCTGAATTTAATTAGGCAACATCGTGCGGCCGTTTGGTATTTATTTCATTATTTATTGTCGCGTACGCACAGTCAAGTTCATGGCGCTGAATACCTTAGGGTGTCTTTCGTGCGTGTTTTGCAGTCCAAAATGTAATAGCCAAATATTTCAATAGATATTTCGATCCGATTCGATACGCTGGGTATCTTAGCGAACGAAGGCTGTTGCCGTGCTTGCACGTGAATTGAAGCAAGGTTAATTTGAATTTAAACGTACTGTAAATACTGCCCGCCTATTTTTGTGGCGCCATCTGTTGCACAGAGTTGGTAGCTCAGCAGCGCTTCGTTAAATAATTGATTGGTTTGCAGTCGACATGTCTAACTGGAATTTTAAAGCGAATGAAACACTTTGTAGCGCCATCTATGGTACGAGGTTTATTGGAGTATTCGCTACGTTATATAGTCGTTAACTTTATATTTGCTAATTGGAATCGAAGTATAGCGCCATCCGTGGGCAAATAGCAACAACTATTAGTAACCACTATAATTGCAATATTGATTGAAATTTATGATTATACAACCGCAACCGCTTCGTTGAGTTTAAGCTGTTTGAAATTATTCAGCTATACGTTTCTGTGGACATTTGTTGATGGCTAGTGTGAAAATTTATTAAATACTTTAAATTTTGCTTAATATTATTTTGAGCAAGTGCAGATTAATCAGAGGTTCTCAATATTAAAATACTGACAAAAAAATGTGGAACGCTTCACGATTTTGCGTGTCATCCTTGCGCAGGGGCCATGCTAATCTTCTCTGTATCGTTCCAATTTTAGTATATGTTCTGCCGAAGCAAGAACGAAGTTCTCTTCGATAAAACTCATATTTATACTGTGATACAGGCGAACCACCAGTTGGGAATTACAAGCCATTACTGACATCTAGGAAGCGCACACAACTTTAAGGGTTGCTCTATGGCAAAAATGGTCTCTTTATTTGCGACGATTGTTATTTCCATTTAAATATGTATTTATTTTAGGGTAGGCATTTACGTGTGTATGTATGTATGTAGTACGGGTCCGTTCCGATTATTCGAGTATTTGGCAATTGATCCTAGAGTCGACGTTCAGTATTCATAATTGGGCTCAATGAGTCGCTTCGAGAAGTTCTGCCAGCGAGCGCGATTGAGCCAAGGCAGGAAACGGGTCGGAATGCGCTTTTTCAGGTTATAGTCCTCACACCCGGCTCTCAGGCACTTCCAGGCGTAGTTGTAGTCGCTGCAGTTCGTGCATCGGTTGCAGACGCACGACAGAGACCTTGCACATCTGGCCTCGCTGTCCTGTGGGTAGCAGGTGTCGTTCACTTTGAGGTAGCACAGAGACTTGATGCAGAGCCCATCCCGTTTGCGATGGTAGCTGTCTGGGCAGATATCGGACTCAATGATCGAGGTGCATATGTCCGAACTGGCGTAGCCGCTGTTGGAGGCGGACCAAGTTGGCTTTTACAACAATGCAGTCAGGCGGATGGATCTGCGACTGGTACTTACATGGTGGCACTTTGCTGGCAAATCACAAATATTATGCTCAGGCCAAGCAGCAGACGGAGTCTATCCAGCCCCTGGGGAATCAGCTGTGATTGAGGCATTGTCAATGCTTAGCCTGGGCCAGGGTATCAGCTACTGCTGCCCAACGGCTTTGGGGAGTATCCTTTTATATTCGCGCGATTCCTAATTAGATTCAAATTTATTTGAATAACATTGATTAATTAATGAAATTCGTTCATTAACTGCCCCCATTTTCAATTGAAAATCAATTTGTGCAGCGAGGCATGCCGCATGCGTCCTGATGGTCCAATGCCAATGCCACGGGACGATGATTTCAATTACATTGAATGCCTTATATTCGGAGTGACAGCGCCGCTAATCGGCAGTTCAAGTGCGCAATATAAATGAGTGGGGTTTACTTCAAGGTCTTTAAATCAGAATTATATTTTCATTTCAAATAAATCTGGTTAGCACACTAACAGATACATAAGATGAGATAAATGATAAGTGCAGTCAAATGTTCACTTGCGTTGAGTATTTCATTAGCTTTGTTCTCAGGTTCATAAACGAGAAATGGTTAGTTATGGGCAATCCGTTCAACGCGCTCCGAAGCGGATATGTTGATGAATTTCGATAAGTCCATATGACGGATTTGCCATGCTTTATTATAGTTAAGATTAATGAAATCTTGGATGGCCACGGGAAATCGGGTAAACTTACCATCCCGATCGGTCATCTGGTATCTGGCAATGAATAAAATATGAAAATAATAAGAATCATCGAAGAGTATTTAATTCTCACACTACCTTTTCGGCATGGATAACTTGAGCATCGATCGCTCTATATATCTTCCCAAATAGGGGCAAATTGCATATTTTTCAAACCGAAAGCTGCTGTAGAATTTGAAAAACTCCTTTAGTTTAGCTTGTACATTATACTCCGTAAGAGGTATTGCGTATGGTATTTCGTTCTGATGCAATTCGTTGAAATGATAAATGTAAGCTGTAAATTATTAATTAATTAAAGAATTATATTCAGCAATATTAATATTTTTATTGTTGCATACGTCCACTCCTTGGGCTTAGATTTTCCTGCAATTTTTCGATGGATGGAAGCTCATCCCGAATTTGCAAATGGAATATGAGCATCAAAAGAAGTAGATGGTTACGGAATCGCAAATGCAGTCCATGCATTTTTATCCAATCTCGCAAATAGATCATCATATAACGGGCTGCAAGCACATCTCAATACGTATACAAATAGTAGACGACGATTTGACATTACTTACCGATTGGCTGCAGTTTGAATAGATATATGACTATTTTGTTCTGGCTGTAGGCGTAACAGTTAGTGAAACTTAAGTCGTACTGTAAGTTCGTGTGTTTGTTTTTAATTATCACTAAGGGACAATTGCCGCCGCGATTTTCAATGCAAATCCATTTCGATTGTGAATCAAACACTTTTGAAATCATTTTCTGTCTCTCAGAGTCCTCCCAATTGGTATATTTCTTGTAATCGTAGAAGCTGTCGTCTGAATATAAGTATATGTAAGATGATTAAAATGACAAGTGAGACTGCTCCAGTTGGTGTACAAAAATGAAGCTCTTCTCTGGGACTAGATACTGATGATATCTAAACGTTCTGACGTGAAATATTTAGAGTATCGTAATAATGCCTGCGTACAGCAGCAATGTACACATTTGAAAACAAACAACCGTTATTTTAATTGTAATTTGGAAACTACTCGTAGGTTTTCATGGCTGTAGTCTGTAGCTCTTAAACTGAATAACATATTGATATACTTTAATTCGTAAGCTGTTTTTATATACATATGTATGTATGCTTCACTTGACATATCCAAAAAATGTATTATATCGAAGACCTTATTGGTTGAAGTAGTTGGAGTTGGAGCATAGGCAGGCATCTACATAACTATGTATGTATGGGCATTCAATACTTACCAAATTCTACGTAAATGTCCAAGTCGGATGTTTCCTGAGCAATGCCCAAGACGCGCGAGCCAAAAGGATGAACGCAAATTTTCCGAGTCAAGTTTGCTTTTAAAAATGTTTCCAATTCCGCTGCAATGTCATCTACTTTATTCTGTAATTCATCGGCGATTCGAATTTTTTCCAAAAGCTTTGGCCAATATTGAGTAAAGCCTGTAGATGGAACATTAATAAAATAATCTAATGGAAAAATCAGTTAATTTTCTAGCTTACTCAAAGACATATTGATATCCAAGCTCGAATCACTCTAAAGTTTAGACTCGAAACGTATTTAGGTAGTTCCCTAATGTGAATTGAATGAATTCTACCAGAATCCGATATTTCTGAGTAGTCTATAATGAAGTGTGACCATGTGAATAGTACTTTTAAAAAACCAAATGCTTTCATGCTTAGGAATCAGTGTTGCCAGATTATTGATAACAAATCCATTGAAAATGAGCCGGAAATTGAGGCAGACTGTGCAGAAGTCCTAAAACGAAAATGATTATAACTATTAATGTTCATAGGCAATTTAGCATATCAAGATTAAGCCTCATCAAGCATATACATGAATTCTTGAGCAACGTAATGAGCTAATCCGATTTAACTATGACTGCTCGTTTATACATACATATATATATGGGTATGTACATATGTATCTCTGTTAGTATGTCTGTGTGTATATCTGTCTCTCTGTCAGCCTTCTAACAGAAGCAAGAGACGAATAAGAAACACAGATCATTTAAGTTGTCTATGTATAAATATGTATGCAGCTCGAATGCTGAAAGCAGCTCAGAGTGTTCCCATTGGTCACTTAAGCTCAACTGCAACGACCCTGACCTGGGGCAGGTCTCAACATTTGAGCGCGATTTAGTGTTGTGAGTGAAAGTCGTCCTATATAAAGAGCAGCAGTTGCAGCATTTCTTCAGTCGTACTAGACCTGCTGGGTGTCAGTCCCAACAAATAATTTGTGAAATATATTTGCAACTTTTCGTATATTTTCTTCTATTTCTCTAACACGCTTTTTATTTTATATTCATTCCAATCTCTAGTCAGAACATTTGAATTTCTAATTATAGTCATCCACGAAAGTGAAATGAGTTTTGTAAATGACCGTCTTGCTAATATTATATTAGTTAAAATGGATTAAAGCGAATATTATATGGCAGAGATCTTTTGATAATTTCTAATTCAAAAAGAATTACCAAATAATTCACAAACGCCGTTTTGTACCGTTTGTTTACCTGAGGCTGACAGCGAGACTAATCTGTAATAATATGCTAACGTACTTCATAACAATCAGCTCTTGTTATCAGACCGTGCGACGACGGATGCGAGCTGCGGGAGGGTGGAGGTGTGCTGCTGATAGGAAGCACAGCCTAAGTCGCTTGGCTTTGTGTTTTCTCGTATTCCAATTGGCAAACGAGCGCTGAGCAGTGCGGACTGTTTCGAAATGGTGGTGGAGAAAGTTATATTGGCCTATTCGGGTGGCCTGGATACGAGCTGCATACTCAAATGGCTGCTGGAGCAGCGCTATGAGGTCATCTGTGTGCTGGCCGATGTTGGCCAGCAGGAGAACTTTGAGGCAGCCCGCCAGAAGGCGCTCAAAATCGGAGCCAAGGAGGTGGGTTAGCGCGCTAATCAGCGCCGATTGCTTCTAATCTCCAGACGACATACAATGTTGCAGGTAATCGTGGCTGATATCAAGCAGCAATTCGCCGAGCAGTACATATGGCCGGCCATCCAAATGGGCCTTATCTACGAAGAGCGTTATCTGCTGGGCACCTCGTTGGCGCGACCTTGCATTAGCGTCGCCTTGATAGAGGCCGCCAGGCGGCATGGCGCCAAGTACTTGGCTCACGGGGCCACCGGCAAGGGTAACGATCAGGTGCGCTTCGAGCTATGCGCATATGCATTGCAGCCTGACTTGAAGGTGACTATGATTGAGTGTGTGTGTGTGTGTGGATAGCAGCTAGCTGATTGCCATTTCTCCGATGTAGATCATTGCACCGTGGCGGGATGTGGAGTTCTGTCGCCGGTTTCAGGGCAGGCAGGATCTGATTGCCTATGCGCAACTTCATGGGATCGAGGTGACAGCAAAGCCGGCGACACCCTGGAGCACGGATGCGAACATGCTGCACATTAGCTACGAGTCGGGCGTGCTCGAGGATCCGAACACGGTGGCACCCAGCAGCCTGTACGAGCTGACTCTCGATCCCTTCACACAGGCACCAAAGACGCCTCATCGTGTCTGCGTCCACTTTGAGCATGGACTACCCACAAGAGTCGCGGATCTGGCCACTAGTCGAGTGTACAGCACGCCTCTGGAGATGCTCAAGTATCTGAATGAGCTGGGCGGCAGCTATGGCATTGGACGCATTGACATTGTGGAGAATCGCTATGTGGGGCTTAAGTCCCGGGGCGTCTATGAGACCCCGGCCGGCACCATACTCTACGCAGCGCACCAGGACTTGGAGGTGTTCGCCCTGGATCGCGAAGTGCTGCGCACCAAGCAACTGTTGCGCGATCGCATGTCCGACTATGTGTACAATGGCTATTGGTTCAGTCCTGAGGCGCTCTACGTGCGACGCTGCATTCAGCTGGCCCAGCAACAGGTCACTGGAGAGGTGACCATGGAGCTAGCGCCAGGCTACTGTCGCGCCATTGCCCGCAAGGCGGCCGATGCAGTTGCTGCACTCTACAACCAGCAGCTCGTCTCAATGGATGTCCATGGCGGCTATGTGCCGCAGGATGCGGGCGGCTTCATTGCGATCAATGCGGTGCGCGTACGAGAGCATGTACGTGCCTTCGGTCCCTACCAGAGTGACCAGAACTAGCTGATCAGCCACAAATATGAAAGCTATAAATAAATTAATGAACTAACTAGAGAATGCAGAATTATCAACTATTACTGAAATATTTCTCCGACTGCGCCATTCCCGGAAGAGGTTCTCATTGCTCTATAGCTATAGCTACTTTTCTGCTTACCCATGCATGTATATTTATAGACGTACATATGTATATCCACTTATAAGCTATGTGTCGAAGCGTTTCCGAAACCAATATGCCCTTTTCAAATTGCAATTGCAAAATTGTTAGCAGAGAGACTTTTGCATTTCAGATTAGTATAAATCACTTGTATATTGTATATTCTGGCCTTTGGCATATATACGATGTATGTATCTGTCTAAACTCTACGCAGTTGATGCGAGTCTGTCACTGCCCTCAATAGATGAATAAACAATATGAACAGCGACGGCTGACTTAACAGAACTAAAACTGATGTAAACAAATCAAATAAGCGTTGTTTATAAAACTCAAGCAGAGAGCCTCTCTGAGAGAGTCGTTGCTTATCTGGGAGAGTTTTCGTTCTGCGTGTCGAAACCGTTGCAAGTTTCTATAATTATAAATAAGTATATGTGGAATAAGTCTAATGAAATATTAAAACAATTCAATTCTGTTTTCTTTATATTGTAAATTTGATGACAAATATACAAAAACGAATATTGAAAAGTTTAACAAGATTATTTCGAAATTCAAAATATTTATGGCTTTAAGACTATCGATAACAATAATCGGTTACTGTCAACAGCGGTATATTTAGTATATTTTTATTAATTTGAAATAAATTTGATTTGTTTTCAATAGCGTGACAATTAAATTTATTTTAAAAATTCATACTCGCTGCACACTTTGCAGTTATCTATTCTAAATATAAATATAAATAAATCAATACATATACAGACACACACGCACATAAATAGATTGAGGCAATCATTCCATTGTTGATTTAATTTATTTTCCACGCAAATCAAACACAATCCAATACAAATTAACACACAGACAACTGCATATATACATATATATGTTTGTATGCGTATGTATGTGTATATTACGTACGTTTTTCCCAATTGCATTAATCTTGTTTCCGCAGCTGAGGAACGCACAGTCTGGGCAGGATGCTGGAGTCAGGCATCAGGCCTCAGGACGAGCTTATTGCACACATTCAACAAAAGACTTCTCTGTTGCGGGCGTTGGGTAGGCGTGGCATATTGCTTATTTGCACTAGCAAATAAAAGCATAAACTAATATTATGACTGCAAATAGAGCCAGAAGAAACGAACGCACAGACAGCTATGTATATGTACATACGTATGTATGGGTTCTGGTGACGATATATGTACATATGTATGTACATACGTACATGCGTTTGCTTAACAACAATTGCTGTTCAGACAGTTTGCAAGCCAGATGTATGATATAAGTCGAATGGCAAACAAGCTAGTTATGCATACCCATTGTCATATGTTGAACAAAGGGTATATTAACGCTAGGTTAGCTTAGGTGTGCATGTGATAGACAGGACTTCCCTTGACTACAGGGTATTTCGTTGCGTAGTCACTAAACTTTGAATGCCACAGCCAACGTCTCGATGTCCTTAGAGACATATTAAGCAAATACTTCAATATATTTTATGCTAACTCTGAGTTTTATACGTGTTCGGATAAATATTACATATTTATTTCGAGCCATGTACTTGGATGAGCATTAAGAGCCAACTAAGATAATCGTCGAAATCCTATAGCTTAGTACATAGTAGAAATACATATTTTCTTTTTTCGTTTGGAATAACATTTTAGTATATGATTTATCTATCTATGTATTTTAATTAATAGCTGATATTCTCTGTTTCAACAACTTGTCAATATTGTGCTCTAAACTAATTGTGGTAAGCTGAAAGTTCGTTAAGAGTCCTTTGACTTGTTTGTATGCAAAATGTTGGCAGACAGCCGTTCAATGTTGTTAACATACTTTTTATTTGCATGCCAGTGTGCGTGTTGTGTGTGTTTGGGTGTCTGCTAGTGTATGCGTACAAAGTTTCAGTTTTAGTTTTAGTTGCAGTCAGAAGCCCAACCTCAGCGGCTATCTCAGTTGGCAGAAAGAGCCAATACAAACAGTTTGCATACTCGACCAACCAGGCATCCATTTACCCATTCATTCTAGCATCCATCCAGCCATCTAGCCATCCGTTCATCCATCCATCACTTTCATGACAGCATCTACAACTTGTTGTTGTTATTGCTTCTGCTTCGGGTGAGGCACACGATCAGACATCGTTGACATTTTAACTTTGTGTTAAATGGCAAAAACATTGTGAAAAAAATGTCTTTTTGATAGAAATAAACATGAGGATGGGAGGAGGAGGAGGAGAGGCGAGTGAGTGAGGGGGTGTGAGGCTGATGCCCAGCATAAATGTTGGGGGAAAAAGTTAAGCGCTCGGTTTTGCGGGATTATTTGCGAGCTGTAAAGGATGTTGCTAGACTTTACTGCACGGCTTTTTAGCTCTTTCTCTCTCTCTCTCTCTCTCTCTCTCTCTTTCTGTCTAGATATTTATACTATTTTTTCAGATTTCTTACTTTATGGCTACATCAGCTCTTTTATATGCAAGCCCAACTTTTATTGAGTTGGCTAAATTGAATGAAAGGTTAACCCCATCAAAGTGTTTTCTAATTATGGCGCATTACAGCAGCAAACTGTGACGAGTAATGCGATTTTCTGGATAGCTGACAAAATCAGTTACAGATGTGGTATTAATTACGTTAAGCATTGCTTCCATAATCTAATTTGTGTTTAATGTAGAAGTGCTGGAGCTTGATGAATTTAATTTGAGGGAATTCTTGGGCTATTCGTCGCCCTTGTTCCATCAAGGGCTTCTACAGGAAATGCCAAAAGATCCGAGTTTACAGAGCATTGGATAACAATTTCGTAATTTCCGGCGCATGGGGAACTTGGAAAGATAACGGTCTTGGCATCTTGGGATAATTGCAAAAACGTGTTAGTCGCTGCTTTTGCAGGATGTCAGGGCTGCCAACTGGCAACAATTTACGCTCAGCTGGAGCTGCACCAGAATCGAGTTGCTGCAACGCCCGATACTTCAGTAAACATAAATTTATTTATGAGCATGTGGCTGTGTTGCGCACCCACGCCCCAATCTCCCACTCCCCCATGCCCTAACGTCTCCACGCTCCACGTTCCACACCCTGGCACGCGTATGGCATTCGAGTCGGGTTGGCAGTCCCGGCTGTTGGTCGTCTCACAGCTACTTCCGCCGCGCTTACAAATTGTTTGAGGGCGAATTTTAATTATTCTTCATTGTTTTGATAGCGACGCGTGCTGTTCTCCCTCACACTCGAGCTCCTGCTCTTTCTCTCCCAGCTATATATTTGGCACTATTTTGCAAACGCCTGCAGCTAAAAAAAAAAAAAAAAAAAACGACAACAACGAAAGCAACTGCCGCATCGTGACCTCAGCGCGACCCGAGTGCTTGTTCATTTAGATTTGGCCCGACCCGCCAGCCCCCTGGTTCTCTCCTTATGCGCTGACAACTCGAGCTTTGAGGTGGCAACGAATCGGCGTGGGCTCCACTGCTGACCTAGTAGCAAAAACAATTATTCTTTTGTCTTTTTGTCCTTTTACCCAGCGCACATCCTTGCCACAGTTTCGCTGAGGCAGCTCCTTCTGAAGATCCGGTTAGCAGCAACTGCCTTCAATTCTCTTTGGTTTGGCCGGCAGAGGTTGTGATTTGAGTAGGTGATAGTATATTACCTAATTTAAGCTGGGATTGGCATAGGTTTTAATATCTTAACTAAGAGCTGATTTGAAAACATAATTGCCATATGTCTTCTCAATGGATTATAAGGAGTTTCGCTCAATTTGGGAATAGAGCAGTGCAAAATTTACAACAGCAACAATTTACAACTTTTTACTATACAGCATAGGGTTTAATCGGATAATGAAGTAAAGAGATCTCTCAAAGAATTCAATACATAGGTGTTAGCTCTAAGAATTTACAGAATATTTTCGTAAAATTCTTTCGATTGTATAGCCTTTGCAATCTTTGCAAAGTATCTTAGCCAAGTCCTTGGCTCCACCTAAAGATCCTCACGGGCAACTTTGCTGCGTGCCTTGGCAATTATATATAGAGGACGCAGTCCCAGCTGCACTCATCGAGCTCTGAGGATAGTTTCGTTGACATTTTGCGCTGTCTTTTCCCTACTTTGCTGGCGTCAAAGCTCGACGAGAACTCCTTCAAATTGAGCAGCTCAGAGGTGATGAGAGGCGCGGGAGCCGGGCGCACGACTGAGTTTTATTATTGAAATTTGTTTGTGTTGACTTTGTAGTTGGCGCTGCTTTTGGCAGCGCATCCCTTTTTGTAATTAAATGCAGATGAAACTTGAAAGCAGGTCACTCATACGCCTCGCTCTCGTGCCTCTGGCAACGAACTTAACTTTCAAATTAATTTTTATAAATAGCTTTTAAAATTATTACACTGACTGCCTGGAAGTGTTTGGCCTGGTCGCAGATGCAGCTAACGCCAGTTGCCAAGTGCTCCAGTTGCTGGCATTGATTGGCGCTCTTGCCCAATTTTAATTAATTTGTCAACTCTCAACATAAGAAATGAACTTAAGGTGGCCAATTCTTGCTAAACGATGGAGGAATTTCTCCCCTTTAAGGTATACATTCCACAGTTCTCTCAGATGGCGTAAAATGCTTTTGCTTGAAATAAATCATTTCATATGAATATAATTTATTAGAACTTATGCAAAAAGTTTTGATTGAAATACCTGACAGGTAGCCGAAAGTTGTGGGCGTTCATTGCACCATTGATAAGTTAATAAACCTGATTGCACCTAAACTATGAATCAACAAGGTAAATATTTCGATGAGTTGGGGAAACTATGTTTCAAAATGATTGGATTGATGCTTGATCAAAGCAGGTTTAACTTTTGCTCGACTTTTCCAATTAAAATACTTATGAGTGTTTAAAAAAACAAGCTAATTTGTGGTTTGGCTGAACTTTTCGTTCACTTGTGGTGGGTGCAACAATTCACAATATTAATATGTATAATAAAATGGATAAATAAATTCCAGAACACAATTTCCTAGCTAGACGACGGGCAGCTGGCAACGGCTTCTACCTGTTGTTTCTGCTGCTGTTGTTGTTGCTGAGGCAACTGTGGAACGTGGCAGATTATGCTGTATTATCACCTGTAATTCCTTATTGGCAATCAAAACTTTGCCGCTTGCAGCACGTCCTGGGCGCAGCGGCGGCGCCGCACAGGAACCGTCCACGGCGTCATCGCG